ATGATGATGATGATGATGATGATGATGATGATGATGATGATGATGATGATGATCTACACGGATCGGTCATTTCGCAAGAATTTCCGCGGTACCCGGGAAGACAGACGCAGACTGAAGAATTTCTGGAAGAGTAGCAAGAACCTCCATTTTGGCACGGGCGTAAGGAGCAGGCGTCGCTGATAGGTCGGTTGCAAACTGACCCCGTGAACCCTGGTGGGCAGACGCACACAAAAGTAGTCCCTGACTCGAAGCAGGAGCCCGAGTTGGCGCATGGCCTGTTTCTGCAGGGGCCTTGTGGGGACTTTGTCTCACAGAGCTGGCCTGTGTAGCTGGCAGGACACACACACACGTACATGGTGCCAGACGAGTAGCATTTGCCGCCATTTCTGCACGGGTTGTTGGCGCAGGCTACTGGCGTCTGGCAGTTGGTGCCGGAGAAACCAGGCGCGCAGCGACAAAAATAGCCGTGAGAGGAGGAGGAGGAGGCGGCAGGGGAGGAAAGGGAGATAATGGAGGAGAAGGAAGAGGAGGAAAAGGAAGAAGGAGAAAAAGAGATGTTGGAGGAGGAGGAGGAGGAGGACGAGGGAGAGAAGGAGGAGGAAGCGGAGGAAGATGGAGAGGAAGAGATGCTGGGGGAGGAGGAAGAAGGGGAAAAGGTTGAGGAAGCGGAGGAGGAGAGGGAGGCAGAGAGTACAGAGGAGTAGGAGGAAGAAGATGGGAAGAAAGAGGTGGAGGAGGAGGAAGAGCCGAAAGGATAACAAGTTCCACCATTCTGGCAAGGGCGACTATCACAGGTTTGAGGAATGTGGCAGTTTTGACCCCTGAAGCCCTGTGGACAGCTACACGTGTAGTAGACGGAGAACTGTGTGTTGGATCTCTGACACGTGGCCCCGTTTTGACACGGAGCGGACGTACACGGGTCCAGGAACTGACATCGAGGGCCAAAAGTTCCTTGTGGGCATGTGCACTCATAACGTGGTCTTTCTCCTCCTCCTCTTCCTCTTTCCCCTCCATCTTTCCCTCCTCGTCCTCCTCCAAGAGGCAGCTGGGAGGATGATGACACCAGCAGACGACAGACGCCCGAGTTGAGACAGGGGCTAGGTTTGCAGACATTCTCAATCTCACAGAAATCTCCGGTGAAATGTGGGTCACAATGGCACTCGAACCCCCGGCCATTCGTTGCCGACAGTGAGCCCCCAACCTCACACCTCCCCCCGTGCTGGCAGGGCGCAGACGAACAGGGATCAGAGACGTCACAGTTCTGACCTGTGAAGGTCACTGGACACTGGCAGAAGTAGTTTCCCTGGACATCCTGAAAACATTTCCCGTCATTCCTACATGGGTTGGAAGCGCATGGAACTTTGACCTCACAGTCTTGACCACTGAACCCCGTGGGACAGTCACAGGCGTATGACGTCTTAGTAGTCAGTCTGCACGTGCCTCCGTTGCGACACTTGTCCGAACTACACACTTCTATTTCACACATGGCTCCCAGGTAACCCCGAGGGCACATGCAAGTGAAGGGGTCGCCTTCTCTGGTCTGTCGGCAGAATCCACGGTTGTTGCATCCGTGACCTCGGCAGTCGGTGAGGTCTGGGAGTGGGGGAGTGAGATTGAGTGAGTTGGGGGATGGGGAAGAGGGGGGTGAGAGGGGAGTAAAGAGCTGATTTAGACAGTGAAAGAGTGAGAGAATGAGTAAGGGGAGGGGTGTTGGGGGAATGAGGGTGATGGGGGAGTGAGTAAGGGGTGGGAGTGAGATTGAGTGAGTGAGATAATGAGAGAGTGAGAGAAGGGGACGCGGGTGAAAAAGTGAAAGAGGGCGGGATGAGAGAGTGTGTGGGGAG